CCGGGAGCGGCCGCTGCACTCCAGTCTGGGCGACGGAGTGAGACTCCAACTCAAAAAAACCAAAAATAATAATAAAATAATAACATAAAACTTCGACGACTTACTGGACACCCAGTGGTTTAAAGACCACTGGTGTAGAGAATGGAAACTCAAATCCTGCAAACAGCTATCATTCTCCTGTGGCTTAAAGCATCTTAGTCAAAACTAGGGGATGCCTTGGGGGTAGTGACCCCTGGACCACACCCTTCTATTCCTGGACAACATGGACCACATCTTCCCTCCAGGACGGGCCTCTGTGCTCCTTGCTTGCCCCGGCTGGGCTTTGCTTTTTGGGACACCCCAGGCTAGTCTGGTGATTCTGAACTGCCTGGCTGGAAGAACGGATTCCCATGGGGGGGATGAGGAGGGGCCAGAGATGATGGGAGAATAATAAAAACTCAGTCTACCACCAGGCAATAGCATCTCAGTGTTCCTCTTTTTCCAGAAAGCAGCCCCTCCCCACTGCCACCACAGTTGGTGGTGGGCATCTTCCAGAGGGTCCCCACCCCAGTGTTCTCCTTTGATGTGTGCCAGTGGCACCTCAGCCTGCTCACTGCACCCCAGAACAGCCGCTGGCACAGCCGCATTTGCATCTTCTCACAGGCAGTTAATTGCCCCGAGCAATCTGCCAGGCCCGCCTTCACTGGAAAATCAGTCTTCAGTGGAGCACGGTGGCTCACACCTGTAATCCCAGGACTTTGGGAGACTGAGACAGAAGGATCGCTTGAGGCCAGGAGTTCCAGACTAGCTTGGGCAACATAGTGTAACCTCATTTCTACAAAATATTTTTTATAATTAGCCAGGCATGGTGGTGCATGCCTGTGGTCCCAGCTATTTGAGAGGCTGGGGCAGAAGGATCACCTGAGTCAGGAGATCGAGGTTGTGGTACCTGTGATCGTGCCACTGCACTCTGGCCTGGGCGACAGAATGAGACACACCCTCAACCCCAACTTTTAAAAAAATTACTTTTTAAAAAAGAAGTGCTGACTAGCAGTGATATTTAAAACATAAAGCAGATACACATCAGTCTTCTGCTTCAAACTCCCCGCTGACTTTTCGTCATCCTTAGAGTGCGATCCACACTCTTACCCCTTGTCACAGGCCACCCCTTACGCTTCAGCTGTACTGCCCTGCTGGCTTCTCCTGCCAGCTCATCAAGTCGCGGCTGCCCTGGCTGCAGCACTGGCTGTCGCCTCTTGGAATACTCAGCCAGGTCCACAGGACCGGCTGCTGCCTGTCACTTAGGTCTCAGCTCCGTCTCATTGCTGGCCCGCTCTCAGCAATTTCCTAAAGCGCCCCATGCCTGAAAATAGCCTCTTGATGTATCTACTTTCCTCCTAGTAAACAAGAAATTTCCTCATTGTGAGGCCCATTTCCTAGCACAGTGTCTGGCACATAGTATGCAGGGGGAAAAAAAGTACTGGTCAATCTTCAGTGGAAATTTTGGAATGCAACATGGAGTTGTCATTTCAATCAGTAGATTTGGCTTCTTTTTTTAAAAAAATACCTTCTAAAAATCCATGCACGCTGTGTGTACATGTGAATTACGTATGTGTGGATGGATGTGTGTTTTGAGTTTCCAAAGCAGCTTTATATGTTTTCCCTACATTGGGTCTAAATTACTTTGTCTTTTTTTATTATCTCCAAAAGGTCACACTGCAGAATTATTCTGGATTATTTGCCATGTGTTTATGCTGGGGGTCAAGCTAGTAGTGATCAAGAGAATTAAGCTTCTAGGGTTACAGGGTTCAGAACCACCCTCCCCAGGGCCACATCCTCCATATAAAATAGGATGTCACTAGAATCTTTTTTTGTTTGTTTTGTTTTGTTTTGAGTTGGAGTCTCACTGTCACCCAGACTGGAGTGCAGTGGCCACTCCTGGCCACCGCAGCCTCGACCTGCTGGGCTCTGGCGATCCTTCCACCTCAGCCTTCCAAGTATCTGGAACTACAGGCACGCGCTACCACTCCCGGCTAATTTTTGATTTATTGTAGAGATGAGGTCTCGCCTGCCCAGGTGGGTCTCGAACCCGCGGGCTCAGGCAATCCACTCACCTCAGCCTCCCAAAGGCGTGGGATTACAGGCTGAGCCACCGAGCCCAGCTACACTAGAATCTTAATAGGGTTCTTTCCTGCTCAGAAGTTCAGAGCATTGCCTAAGTTAATATTTTTAAGAGAAGAAAATGTCAGCAGCTGATTATCCTAAGAAACATTTTCAGTTGATTCTAATTGTGGATACAGGGGAAGTCTTGGTATCTGCCCTCAGTGAGCTTGTGATTTAGTGGGGAAAACAGCCACACAATGTCACCAGTGTCCCAAGGCACGGACAGGTTTCTTGGATACAGGGTGACTGGCAGGGTCAGCAACTGAAGAGTTAGGTCTTGGAAAGTGACTGAGAATTTTGTCCCGGTGGAGCTGCGTCCCGTGGGCAGTTGCAGATAGGGTTTCGGGGTCTTCATGGCAGAGGGGACCCCGGCTGTGGACACACCCTGAGAGGACCAGGAGCAGAGGGACGTGTGGGCAGAAAGCACCCACAGAAGGCACTGGCTCGCTGTGCCCTTATTCTCCCCCATTCTTGCATCCCCACTTTGGAGAATGCAGCCTCTTTTTCTAAGTTTATAACATACACGAAGACATGCCTTAGGCCCAGACCACAAAAATAGCAACCATTTTTCTGTTCCAGCAAGTCTTAATGTGTAGCCCAAAGTTGAAGGAGAGTGAGAGATTGTCAGTGAGGGATTTCCTCTCCAACTTGATAATTTGTGGACGGGAGGCAGAAAATAATTAGGCTATCTATACCTAAATCACTCCCCACCCCCACTCATCCTCACATCCAGGATTCTACAGGAGACAATGCTTTTTGAGTTTGCAGCCGTCAGTCAGCCAGCAAACATTGACAGGGCGCCTTGTCAACGTCTTGAGCACTAGCAGCTCTCGGACATGCTTTCTGATCTCCCACTGGCTGCATGGAGAGCCCTTCTCTTGCTCCTATGACAGTTTCTCTGACAACGCTGTGATGATCAACCGACTCCCTTCCGATCTCTGGTGAGGCGAAAGTGTAGGGACCATGCTTTGTTTGAAGGGACTCAGTGGGTACTTGCGGAATAACACTTGAGGCTCTATGCTCTTGGGACGTGCTATACATAGAACAATGCGGGAAAAGACCCCCATTCACCATGGCAACCCCAGTGCAAAATCCTAACAAAGCAGAGGTGACCCGTGTCATGGATCCACCCTTCCCAGCTAATTTTTTGATTTATTGTAGAGGCGAGGTTTCGCCAAGTTACCCAGCCTGGTCTTGAACCCGTGGGCTCGGGCAATCCTCTCGCCTCTGCCTCCCAAAGTGCTAGGATTACAGATGTGAGCCAGTGCACCCAGCTTGCTTTTGGTTTTAAAAAAAATACATCAGTAACCCCCAAGTTTTGTTGGTTTCAAAGCCACAAAAGGTTATTTCTCATCCCTGCCCGGTCAGCCAGAGACTCTGCTCACCTTGGTTTCTCGGGGGTCCCAGGGTGAGTGGTCAGATACCTCCACAGATGGCTGGGCAGTGTGCCAGAGGGAAGGAGCTTTGGCCGCCCTGTCCAGTCCACCCCTGTGATGACGGAAGAGTTCCATATCTACACGCCTAATACAGTGGTCACGAGCCACACACGGCTGTTGAGCACTTGAAATGTGGCTAGCGAGATGAGAACTGTATTTCTTTTTTTGTTGTTTTGTTTTTGTTTTGAGTTGGAGTCGCACTCTTGTCGCCCAGGCTGGAGGGCAGCGGAATGCTCACAGCCACCGCAGCCTCAACCTGCTGGGCTCAGGCAATCCTTCTGCCTCAGCCTTCCAAGTAGCTGGAACTACAGGCGCACG